TCTCGCGCTCGCTGACGGCGGCTGCCATCATTGCGAGCTATTGCCATGGTGACTTTGAGGACTCGCCATACATTTTTCTCCGAGTCTGCACTTCCGCCTGCTATAGTGCCACGCCGTAAAAAGCGCCGTACTCAGCGGGTCCCCGAGCCTTCTCCAGACCGTGAAAGCTCGCCGGTTCGCCCGCGAGCTTCACCAGCTTCACCAGAGTCGCTCACCGACGGACAACGGCCGCCGTCCGCCGCCGCTTCCGCCATTAATGACGACGAGATAGCTGCATCTGTAGAGAAGGCCAGCTGCTCCATCCTGGCGTCGGACAGTGAGGATTGGGCGAGCTCTGTGGACCTCCCCCCTCTGCCCGCGAGTCGTCAGGGAAACGGACCAGCATCAAATCCGAGCTGATGCGTCTACTCACAGGCCGTGGCGAGCCTCGGCCTTGAGTGGACGGCGCCCGCGCAGCCCGCACACAACCGACTGGATGGATGTTTCCTGCAAAGGGACCGCGTACCTCTGTCTCAGCAGCATTCTCCGTGGTGGACGGTGCTAAAGACAGAGGATACCACACTCGCGAAATCCGCTGCACAGGCCATTGGGCGGAACATGGCTTCTCTCACCGTTGCTGAGAGACACCTATGGCTGACGTTATCTGAGATGCCGGACGCGGAGCCGGACGTCAAGCCCGGGACCAGAGACCACGCTCTCGCTCTGCCGGCCGCCGCCCCCCTCCACGTGGGCCCCGGCAAACGATTGAGATAAAGCCCGAGGCCTCAAAGTCTTCCTCGCCCTCCTAGGAAAACTACGGTGTTTAAGTCTCGCCCGGGCCAGACTTCCACCGAAACTTTTTGCTCGTTCAGTTCCAGAAATTTCGACTGTTCCAAGTGTATTTTGCAGTAAACAAGCTGGTACCACGGCCCGCTTGCCTGCACACAAATGTCGTTTCCACGGCGACCCAGATAAATCACATAAACAGTGTAATTTCTGGTATTCCGGCCACAGCCGATGGTGTTATGAGTGTAATAAAAATGCCCACAGCCCAGTGTTCATTTCTACACACAAACACAGTACAGGGCTCGCACAAATAAAATCGACTCATGTCGGTTGTGCATTAAATGTAGTGAATGTGCCCACAACCCAGTGCCCATAAACACTGCATATCCCACAGTTTCTGTAAAAACAAAACCAACACACATACAGTCAAGCTCATGCCGACAGTGTTTTCAGTGCAGTAAATGTGCCCGCTGTCCTGCGCCTACATTCACTCACAGACATGTTAAGCCCCACAGGGTTCGCCCCGCTCGCTCTCTCTCAGCAAACTGCCATAAGGGAGTCGAGCGCGGCCAGGCTGCCCGCCGTGATCGGCGCACCCCCGTCTCAAACGCTGCAAGTACAGCGTTCACGTTACAGCACACCGAAGCTCTCCGGTCGCCACTATGTTGCGGCCAGAGCCCAGATCTCATTCTACCCCTAGCTATTCATGCAAATGCGTGGGCAAAGCTTCTCGGGGTATCAGAATGGGTGCTGAACACTATAAAAAGAGGCTATTCGCTGCAGTTTGCTCGACGTCCCCGCCGCTACACGGCGCGGGTCGAAACTACGGTAAAAACCGAAGTAGCTCATCTACTTCGAGCCGAAATAGCAAAACTATTGAGCAAAGGGGCAATAGAGCCTTTATCTCAAGTTCAGAGCGAAGGGGGCCTATACAGCAGATATTTTCTGGTACCGAAAAAAGACGGGGGTCTCAGACCCGTTCTAGATCTAAGACAACTGAACAAAGTGCTTGTGAAACGCCAGTTCAGAATGCTCACAACCAGGAAAATCCTCGCGCAGATTTGCCAAGGGGACTGGTTTATGTCAATAGATCTGAAGGACGCGTATTTCCAAATACAAATAGCTTCACGTCACAGGCGATTCTAGAGATTCGCCTTCGAGGGCCAGGCATATCAATACACAGTCCTACCGTTCGGCCTGTCCCTAGCACCCCGTACATTTACAATGTGCATGGACGCGGCTCTCGCACCCCTGAAACTTCGGGGCATGTGAGTTCTGAACTACTTGGACGATTGGCTGATTCTAGCTCGATCACACTCAGAGCTCATAGAACACAGGACCATATTACTCGAACATCTCGAGAATCTAGGTCTCAAAGTCAATTGGGCGAAAAGTTCGCTGTCTCCCAGTCAGAGAGTATCTTTTCTGGGCACAGAACTGGACTCGCTGTCTATGACAGCGCGACTGTCGCCAGAGCGCAGACTGAACATTCAGCGCATCACGAAATCCTTCCGCTGTGGCACTATAGTCCCGCTCCAAAGGTTTAAAAAAAATGCTGGGCCTCATGGCCTCGGCATCATCAGTACTCCAGTTGGGTCTGCTTCGCATGCGCCCGCTGCAGTTATGACTAAAAGCGCGAGTACCACCTCGCGCATGGGCCTCCGGTCTGTTTCGCCTCAAGGTCGATCAGAAATGCGTCTCAGCTCTGAAACCTTGGAGAGCAATCGACTGGTATCAGTCAGGTGTAATCCTGGGGACTTCCTCGAGTGTGAAGGTGGTGTCCACGGACGCCTCCACCTCGGGATGGGGAGCGCTGCTCGAGGGCAGACCGTTCTTTGGCCAGTGGTCAGAACGGGAGAAGCTCCTACACATAAACTGTCTAGAAATGATGGATGTCAACAACGCGCTGAGGCGTTTTTGTCCCCGAATAAAAGGTCACCACGTCTTGGTCCGCTCGGACAACATGTCAGTGGTGGCCTATATAAATAGCCAGGGTGGCGTCAGGTTGCGAAACCTATACAGGCTGACAGGACGCCTCCTGGTCTGGGCTCAGCACAATCTGCGCTCATTGAGAGCAGCACATGTGCCTGGTCACCTGAATTTGGGACCAGACAGACTGTCCAGAAACAATGTTCCAGCAGGAGAATGGTCTCTGCACCCGCAGACGGCAGATCCCAAGAAAACGCTCACTGTCCGAAATTTTTCTCCAAGAGCAGGGATGCGCTGGCCCACGTCTGGCCCCGCTGCCCACTCTATGCTTTTACCCCCGTCTCACTCCTGCCTCAGGTATTGGAACGAATCAGGGAAAACGGATGCTCAGTGCTACTTGTTGCTCCGCTCTGGAAAAACCAGGCTTGGTTCCCAGTTCTGATGCAGCTGTGCCTAAATCCCTCAACACACCGTTCAGGGCTCAGGTTATTTCCCTGTCTGCCCTGCCGGTTTACAACGAGGAAAAGGACGCGAGCTTCCTTTGCCCAGTCAGGGCATTAAGGGCATTATTGTTTTCAGACAGACTGAGCAGCTCTTCGTTTCGTTCAGCGGACGTGCTAAGGGACTAGCCGCATCGAAACAGAGCCTATCCAGATGGAAAGTTGATGCCATAGCGCTGGCATACACGTCTAAAGGCTTGAAGTGTCCTTTAGGTGTTAGAGCGCACTCCATAAGAGGCATGGCCTCGTCGTGGGCTTGGTCTAGCGGGATTACCTTGCAGGATATCTGTATGGCGGCAGGCTGGGCCTCCCTGTCTACATTTATAAGGTTTTATAACCTAGAGGTTCCCGCCTTACAGGCTAAACTACTTTCGGTCTAAAAATCAGTATTGTCTGCCCCGTTGCTTCGGCTCAGAATACTACAACCGCTTGAGCACCGCTTGCTGATCGATAAAATAACTCTATGGGCAAAAGCAAGACCCATACCATTACCCAGTTCAGGCCGAACATTTTCACCCTGAGTCTGACTGTGTGGAACACTGTTGATGTGATTAGCTCCCTTAGGACGCTAACTTATTGGGAATGACGCTTCTAGCCTCTCTTCTCAGACTCTTTGTGAGTCCCTGGTGATTATGCACTATATGAGCCCCGGCACCTGCCTTTGGGACTTTGGTGTTGGATCCCAGCACGCACGGCGTTTTACACTGTGTTCCCCTAGCGTAAGATATTACGCAGTACGAGAGAACCTCTCGTAAGAGAACGTACTCGGTTACTAACGTAACCTCGGTTCTCTCTAGAAGAGGGAACGAGTACTGCGTATCCTTGCCGTGCCTGCAACACGCTCTGGTTCGCTTCGGCGATGAAAAACCAGATTATATCAGCCCATCGAGCTATATTTATAGGCCCAGACCACGCCCGCTTTGGCGGGAGGTGACGTAGTGGGCGCTTCGCGCCCCCATTGGATCTGACGTCACCAAGGGCCTCTCTCGATAGGTTGCTGCAGTTGCCGCAGGACAGCCAATAGGCCGTCTTGCCTATGTGTGCATGCTGCCGCAACGCGTTTTACATTAATTGAAAATTAAGGATAATTTTTGGCTTCAATATCTCGTGGAAAAAAGGTTTTCCCCCTAGCGTAAGATATTACGCAGTACTCGTTCCCTCTTCTAGAGAGAACCGAGGTTACGTTAGTAACCGAGTACGTTTTTTAATATCTTTAAATAATTTCATATTTAATCTTCAAATTAATGTAGAAACAACAAAGCGCTGACGTGGAAACCAGGAAGAAACATTGTGCCATGAATGAACTATTCAGTGTCCACAGATCAGCAACATTCACCATGGATTTACTGTAGTAACACTACTAACTGTAACCATGGAAGTTTGGCAGGAATAGTAGGCTATAATGCTTTCAAGTAACATTACGTCGGTTTTATTGTGACATTATGAATACAATTGCTGCCCTAAAATGTTAATCTGAACTAAAAGGAGCCATTTTGTTTTATATGCTCCTAAGAAAAGTCAAGTATAGCTCCATCATTGCTCAAAGTAAAAAAAAAAAAAATCATACTTTATGATGAATTTTAAAAAAATTAAATAAAGGAAATTTCTCTGGCATTTCTTTCTTTTTGCTGTATTGAAAACGTACTGAACCGTGACAAGTGTATCGTATCGAACCGTGAATTTTGTGAACCGTTACACCCCCACAGCCCATATATATACGTGTGTGTGTGTGTGTGTGTGTGTGTGTGTGGCTCAGAGATATCTTAATGATGTGCAGGCAAACAGAGAGAGACGAGAGACACTTACTCTGTGATCTCCTCAGTAACTGTGTGCTCCACCTGCAGACGGGAGTTGACCTCGATGAAGTAATGTTTACCATGTTTATCCACCAGGAACTCCACTGTGCCTGCGTTCTCATAACCGACCTGAGGAAACAGAGGAAATGGATTGAGCTATGAACATTTTTAAAAAGTCAAAAATATTATAAATTTTTTTTTTTTTTGGTAAATTGTGTGATGCCCTAGTGTTTAAAATGGCTAATTAGATATGTGTGGCCCTTAAATACATCTACAAGGATATTCATACTTTCCTTCAAACCACACAGGTTCTAGGCAAAATCCACAAATACTGCACACAGGGTTTTTCCTAGGTCAAAAATGGTCTTTACTGGTGGCCATCCAGTACTGGTGGCTGCTAGTGTTGCGGAGCGGGCGTGTTACGGATACGTGGTATACATTTTTTAGCAATCAAAAAGCATGTCTAATTAATTGAAATCATATATTATGAATCATTAAATTTATAGGCTACAACATTTTTTTTAAAATATGGAAAAAAAATTCACATTAATTCTGTGTTGTTTTTTCTGGTTTCTGTTTTTTTCTGGTTGTTTTGTCAAATAACGTGGTGCATAAAGCTTTACTGTTAAAATTAAAACATGGATTATTCCTTAAATTGATGATAATTTATTTGGATTAGTGTTAGTAATTTATTACACTGGGACATATCTAAATTCTACTGTACAACAGTAATATATTTCTGTCAAGTTAAACCGAACTTTTATTTTGACGGGTTGCCGTGAAGACTTTTTGAGTTTCTGTGCGTTTATGTCATGAATCATGATGATAGTTTTTCTCAAATGAAGCGGTTAAATGATCACGAAGTGACTTTCGGAGTGGATCTAGAGCCTGGAGAGGAAGTTCATGCATTTGTGTCTTCAAAAAAACAGCGCAAGCGTCACACGTGCTTCAGTGTGTGTGTGTGTGTGTGTGTGTGGTAGCAGCTAAATGAAACTGCGCGTCGGCTGCACCATTCATTCACACAGAACATTCATGATTCGTATTTAAATTGTCTTTGTGGTTTAATATTCACACACTAGTCTACATTGCGATTTGATTTCAAGTGTACTTAACTGCTTTCTATTTATTCCTCAAATTTTTTTTACTAATTCCGTGAAATTGCGCGTTATATAGTAAATTCCCCCTTCTACTGAATACAGTTTACAACACAAAAAAGAAAAAGTTCCTTCCCATTAAAGATAAATATTTGTTTGTCATTTGTAATTTTTTGTACAATAACAAGGTTAAATAGTTGAGCTTGACAGATGCATTTAACATATTTACAACAAACTACTTCCAAACTACTACAAAAATATTAATTTTTGTAAGATAATAGTTTATCTAATACATCTAATTCTCTCTCCAAAGGAAACGGGATTTGTGTCTTTAAAATAATGGGACATCAAATGTATACTATTCATGGAAAGCACAACTAAAAATAGTATTGCAACTGTAAAATCTTGGTTAATCATTATGGGATCTTATGTAAAAATTTATCAATTATCATTATCAATTATCAATTCTTTATTTTATGACAATTGTGTCTAAACTATAATTATTGCTGCAATAAAACTGGTAACATGGTATTAGTGTAAATTATGGTACATTGTGGTAAGGGCGGATTATTAGAAAGGCACCGAGACAGCAGGTTGCCTCTTACTAGGCCACATCTTGACACACACCACATAAAGCCCAATAGGAGGTTCCATAATCCTGTCCCCAAATTTCGCAGGAATTCAATCCAATTCGTCCTTAGGCCAGTCTCAGCTGCCAAATATGGATACACACTGCCTCTCTCACACACACACACAGTATTTGGAGAGTAAAGCATCCTTGATAACTGGCTGCCAACACAGACTGAGATCAAACAACAAACCCTTCAAATTCCTGGCTGATATTCATACTAACACCCGCTCGAAAATCTTGCAAGCCCTGTGAGACCGCGAGAAGACATGAAGACTGTACACCAAGACTTGAGAACATTTATCATTCCCAGCACTTTCTCACACTCCGACACACTGAAATACGGCGAGCAGATTAAAACTATTAGACCGCCACAATGAAAGATGAAAATAAACAAGACCGTGCACAGTGCCCACGAGAAGAAAGGTACAGACAGGTAATTAAATGGGTAAAATGAGAGGAGGAAAGGAAGGAGAGCAAGAGAGGAGGACAGATGGCATTCCACCGAGAGGACTAAAGAGGGTGAGAAAGAAGGAGGGAGAGAGATGAGTAATTATGAGTTTCACAGCTTGATACAATTTCTAATTACTTCACAACATCCATAGCATAAACCGGGTCTGCAGACAGGCTATGACAAAAGACAGGAGAGGTCAAAGATGGAGGAACTTTTTGGGTTGGTTCTCATGTAAGAGTCAAAATATGGAAGTATGACTGAAAGGAGAGAGAGAGAGAGAAACAGAGAGGGCTCGAGCAGAGCTGTGACCAACACTCCAATTCAAATTAGTGGACAAATAATATGGGTTTAGAAACAGCAGATAAATCCATAAAAATAAAGATATTAAGCAGCACAACTGTTGTTTTCAAAATTCATAAGAAATGTTTCAAGAAATGTCAAATCAGCATATTAGAATGATTTCTGAAGGATCATGTGACACTGACAACTGGAGCAATGACAAAGCTGAATTTTCAGCAGCCATCACAGGAATGGAATAAAACAGAAAACGGTTGTTTTCACAATATTAGTTTTTACTGCATTTTTGATTAAACATTTTTTCCCAAGTAATGTTGAAGAGAGTTACTTTTTTTGTGTATATTATAACCATAAAACCATCAAATGTCATTCTAACCCCATATTATTTTTGTCATGAAACACAAATCTAGAGATCTTAGGCAGAATGTTTCTCTAAGACAAGGAAAGTGGATTGTGATTTTATACTGCCAAACTCTAAAAATGACAAAAAAGGAGCATTCAAATTTCATAAAAGTAGCGCTTACTACTTGTGCGGCTATATTGAAGCCTTCTGAAGTAATTTGACAGGTTCGTGAGGAACAGTCTGAAAAATGTGTCGTTGTTTACTGATAATGTTTCCTCTGGTGTAGAAATCAAACTCTAAGTAAATGAATTCACAGTTGGTCATGTGAATGAGAAAGACAATGTTGTTTCGTATCTATATCAAATCCGGTGAAAACATTTTTTTTTTAGAGGTGTGAAGATGATCCTCAGTGAATAATGAATTTTTAATCTGTTTCTCACTCAAAAACATATGACTTCATAAGACTTGGAATATGGGTCATATGAGTCAGATAAACTACTTTAACAGTGCTTTCACAGTTTTTGCAGGTTCAGTCTAAATCACTTATCAAACCATAGTATCACATCTATTTTCCTCGTATTCAAAACATGCTCTGACAGCTTAAAAATCTCTTGTGTTTTATGGAAGAAAGAAAATAATATGGGGCTGTAATAATCAATTGTATGTATATTTTTCCTTTAAAGTCCCCCTGTGGTGAAAATTTAATTTGTTAGTAGTAAATTTGTTAGTTGGTATATGTCTATGTTTTTAATGTCCTTTAAGACAAACCACATGCAAATTCATAAGTCAACACCATTGCTGAGCATTTTGACAGTCTCAAAAGCGCAGTTTGAAATCCCTGGTGTTTCTTACGTCACAAACTATCTTGTAACCAATCACGTCACGAGGGGGTGGGCTTTAGCATATCATTAACAGCGAACTAGCAGGGGAATCGGGAGAGAAGCCAGGTTATCCTGGTATATCTTTTTGTCGATATAAGAAATCGTGTACATTTAGCAATATAGAGGGTGAATTATGTATATGATGCATATTACAACGTTATGATGGACTATATGCCTTTCTCCACTAATGTTCTGAGTTGTTCAAAGCTTGTTAGGAAGCTGATTGTTAGATGGCAGCTGTCTGACTCGGAGATGGTGAACGGGAACATGGTTTGTGTAACATTAGCAACACATTATTAGCTGTTTGATAACGTAGTCGAGCCAAAGGCTAATCATATTAATTACCGTTATGTGTCCGACGTTGCAAAGAGCGATACATAAAACGCATTCCCATTCTGATACATCGACTTGTAGACGAGCCTGTATGAGTGAGTGGAGGCTAGGCTCATTTGCATATTCATGGATCCGCATATACTAATTGAAGCAAGGGTGTAGTTACATTCATGCTATTTTAAAGGCATGAATACACTTTTTCACTGCAAAAAAACTTTTAAATATGTCATTTTGGTGATCAAAGATAAGTTTTAAGGGATACGATTATTGACTACAGGGAGTCTTTAAGGCTTCTTGTACCAAAAATACATTTTGTTCTTCACACAAGAAAGTCAATAATATGAAGGACATGATGGTGAGTGAATGACATTTGGGTTCCTTTAAACATTAAACTTTTTTGTAGATTCAGTTACATCCTAGCATGAACAAGACAGAGACAGTAGTGACGGTGAGAAACTGAGATTCTGACTAGCAGAGGAGGTTAGACAGAAGAACGACGACGCAATCACTGAAGTTAAACAGCGTTATGTAAATACCCTCGTCTTTTACTGATGATTAGTAGCGAAAATGCTTTATGTTCACAATCAACCTCAGCTTGCCTCAAACACACGCAAACAGGGTTTATGACAGTGAGTGTTGACTGTGGATCTGAAACCACATCAAGGCTGTGATCCCCAACCTGTGCTTCAGGCATCGTGGGTAGAGCAGCTGTCTCCATGGCAACAGCTGCCATAAAACTAAAAAAGACGTTAAAACAGGGGAGATGTTTCTGTTATGTTAATGCCATTTAATTTCCCACCCGGACGTCTAACCAAACAACACATAAAAAAAGCTATAACAGTGACCGCAACAATTTAAGCAGCACCCCAATGAAGAAAAAGGTCAACAAAATGTGTGTAACATAAATGGTTGAGAGAGTCTTCTCACATATTTCTTCCTCCATGACAACATGGTTACCTGTTTAATAGGGGCTTCGACAAAAAAAGGACAAATTACAAGGCTGAACATCATTGTGTTAGCATGGAGAACGGAATGGAAAAATTTAATTGACTATTGAGAGGAAATCTGTACCGGTAAACATTGCTTCAAGCCCTCGGAG